AGGATATTCCCGCAATGTTCTGTATATTTGTTGAACATTCTGGGATATTCATAGAATATCAAATGCTATCTGGGTAACAGTGCACTGACTAAATGTGCATGCGGCTCAGACTCGAAAAAGCTTCCAAATGCGGGAACAAAGAGTTCTGCAGTTAGTGATAATAATATCTGACTGCAATAAAGAAGAATTGGAAGTTGGGAGTTTTTAGAAGGGAGAGCGCAATTAGGTGGAACCTTGGAATTGGATATTTTGAATACCATGAAGTTAACTTTAATGAAAATTACCCCATACTTAATGCTAGCTTTTGTCGACCAACGGTGAAAATCTCATGGCTACATGCTCTAGTTTAGATGTTTTTATAGGAAGGAGCGCAGCTCAAAGCAATATTTTCTGATTTGGCAAAATCTAGATTTTGGACAATTATCAAAAAAATTGCCCAATATTTAGAATCAAATGATTTCAAAAAACTGTAGAAATATGAAGGCACCTCACATTCGCTTAGATGTTAGTTACGATTTTTTTTAAAGCAAAAAACGGTTGTTTTTTGAAACCCACATTAGCTGATCTGACAAAAATCGAATTTTTGGACAAATTCGCCAAAAATTGCAGCATCTCTAGTCTGGGGTGTCTGTCATGCTCTGGATTAGAAGTTGGGATTTTTTTAAATAGAAAGCGCAATTATCGTTTTTGAAACATTTAATAGCCTGGAATTTCTTTTTGAAAGTGGCGAATTTTGCAAAAAAATTGCCAGTACCTAAAGCGAGATTGTTTCAATCGACAGGAAAATTTTCATGTCGCTACTTGCTCCGGTTTAGAAGTTATGGGGTTATGAAGAAAAAAATCACACCTGGCTGACAACATGGACCTTGATTGCAATATGTTTTGATCTGGAGAATATCTAGATTTTAAACGGTTTTGATCAAAATTTTAAAATAATTAGAGCCAAATGTCCTGAAAGGCACTAACAGCTTGGGTTTAGAAGTTACGATTTTTTGAAGAAAATACGCGCAAGTGGGTAGAAACATTACTTCAGCCACAATTTAATATGCAACGGGTAAATTTACATGAGAATCTTCTTAATAATCAACCAAATCTACACCAATATGGAGAAATTTGTGATGACCATTTATTTAATAAACTTCAAGGATTCCACTGAATTAATAAATGTTTGTTCATTGAACGCGATTGATGGAAAATAATCAATGATCAAACAGTCAAAGAGATTTAAATTGGAAAACCTAAGAAATGACTTAAATTGATGAATTTAAATTAAAAATTGACCTAAAATATTTTTTAGAAACTCGGTATTTGAAGCCGTGAGTGCATCAAGTTCGAACGTAGCTGCGTACGGACGATCGTGCATCTCTTGTCAACTACCATGTGAGCGAGTGCGACAAGTGATGTGTGCTACGCTCTAGAATCGTAAATTCAGTTTAATTCAATAAAAATCACATAAGAATTTTTCGGCGATTTGGGTGATTTTTTGTCAAAAACTATTTAAAATATTGTTGAAGCTAAAATGTCGCGGCAAATCCAAGCAAACCTGCAAGCTGGAGTTCAAACAGCTCATTTATAGTCGGTGTTTCTTTACCAACGGACTAAAAAACTGGGATGTAAAACCAAAACGGTCGACCAATCCATTAGATTCCATTAGATTCGGTCAATTAGGACGCAACAACGTGCAGTGGAAATTTTTTAAAGAAAAAAGCGCAAGTGCGTATAAACATCTGAAACCGACGTTTATTAATCTGGAAAAAATCCAGTGTTCGAACAAATTTAACAAAAGTCTCAGTATCGCTGGCACAGAGACTCAATAGGGGTAATTTTTCAAATTAATTTCTTTACTAATTGGAATTTTCTCTGACAGCTTGAGCCTAAGCGTGTCGTAGGATACCCTCTAGGTGATAGTTCTTGATTACTTTTTGATAAATAGTTCGTTCTTATTGCGAAATAGGAGCACTATTTATCCATCTGTAATAAAAGACGTGAGGAAATTCTGTCTTTTTAAAGGCAAACATTTTTGAGGCGAAATACCCAAAAAGAAGTTTGTAAAAAAATGAATCCGCCTCAACAATATAGAACTTATCTACAACTTGTTCTGTAATAAAATTTGCGGTATTTTAAAGGAGAAAAGGTGGGTGGTTGAAAACATTCGTTTCAAAAATTTCATTAGTATAGAAAAAATTGGGATTTTGGCCTACTTTAATAAAACTGACACCACACCCAGCTAGGAAAAGGTTGTGTAAATGGATTTTGAAAATTCCAGGTTACTACTTTCCAGCATTTAGACGTTAGGCGTTTTTAAAGGAAAGAGCGCCGTTGAGTAAAGCACGGGTTTTGACACCGATATTTATCACTAATCTGGAAAAATCAGAACTGTGTTCAATTTTTATAAAACTTTTAGCATACGTAGATCAAGTATAACACCGCAGCCAATAGCGAATTCTAAAGATTCTCTTCAACGGTTCTAGGGATGATTGTGGACGGAATGGTAGAGCCCCACTTGAACTACATCTACTGGACTGAAAAAGAGTACAACGTCCCTGGACTGTTGCACCTGGAAAAGGGCAGCGCCCTATCCAGACGGCTCGGAGATGAAATAGTGAGCTTCTACTTTGGAAACGGGCCGATATCCAGAGACACGCACTTGCGGCAGTTCTACGACGTAACTCCACCCCCTAAGCCAACGTTCAAACATCTAATTCCTGCCCCATTCGCAGATAACCACCGATAATTCGTTCCTCAGGGGCATTTTCAGTTCGGTCCAGCATCACCTGCGCACCTCCAACTGCCCCATCTACATGTACCGGCTGTCTCTGGACTCAGACCTATGCTTCTACAAGCGCATGCTGGGCATTGAGCTACCGGGTAAGTTCTGAAGCCTTCTGAACGGCAACGGGCCACTGTGGAACTTTTCCAGGCGTTTGTCATGCTGACGAGATCGGCTACTTGTTCTCCACCCTACTAACTTCCGCTCCAGAAGCTGGAAGCGTGGAAGATGTTGCCCAGAGGCGCATGTGTCGGCTCTGGGCCAACTTCGCCAAGTACTCCAATCCGACTCCGGTTCTGGATCCGCTACTGGAAATCACTTGGCCTCCAGTCGCCGACCATCAGAACGTGGCCTTTCTGGATATTTGCCAGGAACTGAAGGTGGAGTTCGATCCGGAACCCGAACGCATGAAGTTTTGGGAGCGGATTTACTCGGAGGGTTTACTTGTTTCGAAACTATAAAAGGCAAATTTGGGCACGTTGAGTTTTATTGGGGAGAAAGCCTTTAGGTTCCAGTAGGCCTGCGTAACACTGTGTTGAGTTGCGCGTTTGAGTTGTTGCCGCTCTCTGAGCTAATGAGTTTTAACTCTTTGGTTAATGGGTTATAACTCATTTACCTGTGACGTGACCGACACTGSAATTTTAACTGGAAAGTTTTGGTCTAAAACGGAAAAAACCGGAAGTTTTGAAGAAACTTACAAAATCTACCGAGCGATGATGGTGACGARATTTGGCTTTCTCTGGTCGTTTTTTGAGGAAATCCRAATTTTGTCGAAAKAAAACACGATAACTTTGTGACCAAACTGTAAAGACGATGACTTTTCTTRTAAAATCTTTCTTTTAACTTTTTTGCATAAAATAYTCTCAGTTTGCCAGTATTTTACAGTAAAACGTTAGGAAAAAACGCGTTGTTTTGTTTAGAGAGAGTTTTGTTCAGAAATATTGACGTAAAAGTGAACAAACCGGAATAAATAAACCAAATTACTCACAGCGACAAACGT